GTGCTGGACGCCGCCGCCATTGCCAGGCATGGCATGGCCAAAGGCATGTTTTTTTTGTTGCTGCTGCTCCACACAACCAATGACAATAACAACAAAAAAATGTGTTTTGTGGCGTTCACATTGACACTGAATATTGGCGATGACGACGCTTGGTTGGTTGCCCGGCTTTATGGTGGAGCAGCAAAAAAAAAAAAAAAAACTTAACAGCCTGCATGCCATCATCAGGCATTCAGGCAGGCTGGCTGGCAAGCCGGCATGATGTCGATGTTGTTGTGTATCTGCAACTCTGCAGCATATCAAACTTTTGCAATCGACAACATGCGTCCTCATGCCATCCACCCCAGTGCAGGGAGAAAAAAGATATGTTTATAATGATCTCCCCCCAAACTCACCTCCCTGCATTCCCCTCCTCATCTCTTTGGTTTACTGGCTCTACAATGTTGTTGAATTTCTGTAATTCCCACTGCTGTTGCATGTAACCTGTATGTGGTGGCCGGGAGCCACAAGCATCCATCCATCGCAGCAAGTTTGCCTTTTGCTGTTTTCAATTTCGCTTCAATTTTTTTCGTTTTTTTTTTCTGTGGCTGTTAAGGAGTCTGATCCAAGTCTGATCATTGTAATGATCTCTGCTGTAAGCTTGTGTGTAGGTATGTATGGTCGTACATGGTTGGCTGCCTGGCAGTCATGCTGGTATAATCATGGTCTTACTGCCAGGCTGCCTGTTGCAGCCACCATCGTGGTAATTGTAGAGAGCGAGTAAAAAAAGTGCAATGATCTCAAAAAAAAAAAAAAAAAATAAAAAACAGATTTCAAAAATGTAAAATGTCAATGAACTGATGAAGTGCACGCGCGAGTTAAGTTTTAACTAAACTTGGGAGATAAAAAAAACACGGGTTTTCGGTTTGAATGACATTACAAAAGTGAGTTTATTGATTTAATATTAGTTTTAAAGTTAACTAACTAAACAAAGAAAAAATGAAAATATACTTATGCTATAGATTTCAATGGAAATATGACCTAAGCAAAAGAAAGAAGAAATAGGTCATACTAAAAATTTAATTGTAAAATTATTGATTGATATGTGTTTTGGATTAAAGAGATTCTTAAGAATTAAAGTAAGCAATTTATTGTGTGACCTATATTTAGTTATATTGACTTATACGTATAAATATAGAGTGTAAAGAGAAAATGGAAAGTCTAAATAAGCAAATTATTCTATAACTACATATCTTATTGCTAGATCAGCGATCTGTTTGAGTGCTGAGTGGTGTGGGTGACGAAACTGTGATCTGCCCTCTTCGGTTTTGGTGGTGGTTCTACGGCAATGGCTGTTGTTGTTGTTGATAGTATAGGTGTCGTAACTCGCGCGCCATTCAAGACCGTCATTGAACTTGGAAAAATGTGTTTTTTTTGTTTCTCTCTCACTTTGGATTTCGTGCGAAAATTTTTTTCAGGGAGACATGGAGTAAGCAGGGGTAGGGGGTAATTTTGAAAATTATTTTAATTTAAAAAAAATTACAAGGGACCGATTTTTTTTTTTTTGAAAAAAAAAATAATTTCTAAAAAATTGAGAGAGAAAATTTGATTCTCCAGAGAGTTGAGAATTTCTCCCAATTCACCTGTTGAAATGTTTTTTTTTAAAGTTCCAGACAATTGTATACCCTCAGCAATAAATCTACAGAGGATATAAATCATTGAATACGGCCAAAACGTGACTCATCGAAAATAACGGTTTTGGACCCGAAATCTCTTTGGACCAAATCCATTTCAGGACATTTCAAGTCGATTATTTAATACGGGAAAAACTTGGTTTCTCGAAATTGACGGATTTAAAGCCTAGATCTCTTTGCACCAAATCGATTTCAGGGCATTTGGCGTGGATCTGGGAGGTCCGTTTCGAAGGGAGTATCTGATTTGGATATAAACTTGGTACATCGTAATATTATTAGCAAACCAATATAAAATTCGGAGATGGGTAATATCGGTTCACACCTCCGGGTACCTCAACCACAAAAGTTCAAAATTTTTACAGAAAATAAAATAAAAAAATAAATTTTGTTCAAACTTTGCAAATCCTAAAATTTTTATTAGGTGAGAAAATGGACAATATCGGCCCACTCCTTCTTGGACCTCCTCCACAAAAGGGGTCAAAATTTTGAATAAACGCAAGGCTTATAAAATGTAAAATAACATTTCGATTATCTTCACATTTTGCATATCTCAATATTCCAATCAACACAAGATCTGGCATAAATATAGGATAGATCTGACCAGTCCTTGTAGTGCCTCCCCTACAAAGGGTTCAAAATTTTGAAAAACCAAAATGCCTATAAAATGTGAAATAAGCTTCCGATTCCTTTCGAACTTAGCACATCCCAATATTTCAATCAATACAAAATATGGTGTAAAGTTGGAAAGTAACGGTCCACCCCTTATGGTACCTCCCCCACAAAGGGGTCAAAATTTTGAATAGTTATAAATGACATAAAATGCGAAATAAGCATCCGATTCCTTTCAAAGTCAACACAAACGAATATATATATTAGCACATAATCTGGTGTGAAGGTAATAGTCATCGGGCCACTCCTCCTGGTACCTCCCCCACACCGGATCAAAATTTTTGAATAATTGTAACTGTCATAAAATTCGAAATAAGCACTCGAGTCCTTTTAAACTCGACACATACAACTATTTTTATAAGCACAAGATCTGGTGCGAATATGGGATAGATAGGACCACTCCTTGTAGTACCTCTCCCACAAGGGGGTCAAAATTTTGAATAACTGAAATGCCTAGAAAATGCGAAATAAACATCCGATTCATTTTAAACTCGGCGCATCCCAATGTTTCAATCAACATAAGATCTGGCGTGAAAATGGAATCTAACGGTGTACTCCTTCTGGTACTTCCCCCACAACGGGCCAAAAATTCGGAATAATTGTAGCTCTCATAAAATTCGAAATAAGTAACCGATTCCTTTCAAACTCGGCACATCTCAATACTTCAGACAGCACAAGATCTGGTATGAAAATGGAATAGATCGGACCATTTTTTGTGGTACCTCCCACACAAAGCGGTCAACATTTGAATTACCAACAATGCTCAGAAAATATAAAATAAGTTCCCGATCCCTTTCAAACTCCGTACATCCCAATATTTGTAGTAACATAAGATCTGGTTAAAATATGGTAGATATTGGTTCACTCCTTCTGGTACCTCCCCTTACAAAGGGTCAAAACTTTGAATACTTATATCTCCCATAAACTGCGAAATGAGCATCCCATTCTCTTGAAATGTCACATATACCAATATTTTGACTAACACAAGATCTGGTATAAAAATGGTACCTCTCCCACATAGAGTAAAAAATTTTAAATAATTTCATGTCGCATAAAGCACAAAATAAGCATCCTATTCCTTTCAAACTCGACAAATCCGAATATTTCTATCGGCAAAAGAACTGGTGTGAAGATGATAGTAATCGGTCCACTCCTTCTGGCACCTCCCCTTACAAAGGGTCAAAATCACACAAATGCCAATATTATTATTAACCCAAGAACTGTCCTAAAAATGGAAAGAACTGTCCTAAAAATGGCAGATATCGACCTACTCCTTCTGGTACCTCCCCTATAAAGGCCTACTATTTGCAATACTTTTATATTCTATTCGAACATGGTGTGTCTAAGTATTTCTCTAAGCCACAGATTTGATATGAGTACATTTCCGTTCAATTTTCTCTGCTCTGCCATAAGAAAATTCTCAACTTCTAAGGACAAAATTTTTTTAAATTTTTCCAGATTAAAATATCCCTCAACAACTCAAGATCGATATTTTGTTCCATTAAAATTTGTTTTCAATTAGAATTTGTTCCTTCTCCATTCATCTCCAAACATTATTTATTACTTCACTTCCTCTCTGAAATTTTTCTCCATTTCTCCAAATTCTCTTTAATTTTGAAGGTCACTCTCTGCTCCGTCGTCTGTGGCCGATAACACATAAACCTAGATATGATTATTTATTTATGCCGTGCGGCATCTATGTTTGATTAACATAATTATTAAAACAACAACAAAAGCAGCAACATCGAACAAAGAAAGAAATTTCAAGTTCAAACATACAACAACAACTACTACTACTTTCTTTCTGTGAATGTGTGTTGTGTTTTCCAAACACACTCCGACAATTTCTCTAAAATTAGAACTCTTACTCAGCAGTAACAAAGCATTTCCTCCCCCCAAGAGAAAGAAGATTGACTACTCTCTCTCTCTCCAATGAAATGGAGAACACAAACAATAACATCCCAGAACATGGAGAAAGACTTTCTTTTGTTTACCCCCCGATGATGGCGATGGCTGATCTTAACTGAGGCATGATGAATCAAACAAACATCAACAACAACCAGAAATTCTCGTCTCCGACCAGTTTGGCGTTCAGCCGGCAAGGCGAGGCCGTCTGACAGCCAGCCAAGCATTTGATGATCGTTACTTAATTTTTATGTTTTGTTTTGTTTTGCTTTTTTCTTTTCGAAGAAATTTCTTTTGGAATTATGTTTTGAACTTTCTTCGCTCGGCTCGGCTCGATTGTGGTGTCGTCGACGACGATGAGTTGAGAAAAACAAAACAAGTTGGGTTGTTTATGAATGAATGAAAGAAATGTTGGAGAAAGTTATGTAATACTCGAATACGAGTCATGCATGCTGATATTGGGATGGTTGGGGGAGATTCTTTTCTTTCGTCGTTTATGTTTTAAGACTTTCTTCGTTGTGCGTGCCTGGCCTACGTGCAAGGCCGCAGAGAATTTTGTTTTTCATGTGAGTGAGATAGGTTGGGATTCGCTCGCTTATGGCCAAGAAACTGAAAGTGGCCATTTTGTGGCGTGAAAGTAAAAGTAGGAATTTTGTTGGGATTTCTTTTTTTTGGAATTTAGAAGAGATTTTTATGCATTTTTCGGAATTAGAATTTTAATTTTGATTTTTTTCTCTTTCTTCTTCTCTTTTTTAGAATTTGATGGCACCACAGTCTTGTGCCGTGTCTGCGGCGATAAGGCTTCCGGCTTTCATTATGGTGTCCATTCGTGTGAAGGCTGCAAGGTAAGTGAAAATGTTGTTTATTTTTTTGAAATATTTTACACTAGACTACAGAAATTTATGAAAAATGAAATAAGTTGGAGATAAATTATAAAAAAAGGATTGCATTATTATTTTAAAAATTTTGAGGAATTTGAGAGATATTCTTTTGGTTTTGAATTCTAACAAAAATCTAAATTTTTTTTCTGGGAAATTTTTAAAGAATTTTTTCTTATGATATTTTTAGGGGAAATTTCAGATTTCAGTGAAAATTATTCTTTCTCTGGGTGTTTATTGCAAAATATAAAATAAAATTTGGGATTTGCGTCAAATACAAAAAATTTCCCATGGTGGGAAATTTTTGTTTTTAGGAATTTTGAAAAAAAAATCGTTCATTCTCAGAATTCTTATCAAAAGTCAAGTAAAAATCAATCAAAAAATATAATTTTATTTTTTTTTAATTTTGGGAAATTTTTGGGGAAATTTTTCTTCTATGAATTTATGGAAGGAACTTTTTGTTTTTAATAAAATTAATGTTTCAATTGCAAAAATTAAATATTTATTTTTAATTTGCGACAGAATCTGAAAATTTCCCTTTGAGGGAAATTTTTGTTTTCAGGAATTTTCTAAAAATTCCTTCAGTTTCAGAATTTTTATCTAAAATAAAGTGAAATGCCATCAAAAAATAAAAATTTCCCTTTTGGGAAATTTTTAGGGAAATTTCCATTTTATGAATTTATAGAGGGAAATTTTTGTTTTCAGGATTTTTCAAAAATTTTTTGAAAATTTAGGATCCTTGTCGAAAACTAAGTGAAATGCCATCAAAAAATAAAAATTTCCCTTTGGGGAATTTTTAGGGACATTTCAGTTTCATGAAATTATGGAAAATTTTTGTTTTGTTTTTAATAGAAATTCATTTTTAGCTGAATTTTTATTACAGAAATAAAATAAATTTTTAATTTTCGACAGTAACTAAAAATTTCCCAAGGAGGGAAATTTTTGTTTTCAGGAATTTTCAAAAATTTCTTGAAGATTTAGAATCCTTGCTCAAAACTAAGTGAAATGCCATCAAAAAATTAAAATTTCCCTCTTGGGAAATTTTTAGGGAAATTTTCCTTCTATGAATTTATGAAGGGAAATTTTTGTTTTTAATGGAATTTATTGTTTCTTTGGGTGTTTCTTGCAAAAATAAAATTAATTTTTAATTTTCGACAGTAACTAAAAATTTCCCTTGGAGGGAAATTTTTATTTTCTTGAATTTTCAAAAATTACTTGAAGATTTAGTATCCTTGCCCAAAACTAAGGGAAATGCCGTCAAAAAATAAAAATTTCCCTTTTCTGAATTTTTAGGGAAATTTCCATTTCATGATTTTTTAAGGGAAAATTTTTGTTTTTAATGGAATTTATTATTTTTCTGGGCGTTTATTGCGAAAATAAAATTAATTTTAAATTTTCGACAAAATCTGAAAATTTCCCTCGGAGGTAAATTTTTGTTTTTAGGAATTTTGAAAAAATTCTTTCAGTTTCAGAATTTTTATCTAAAATAGAGTGAAATGCCATCAAAAAATAAAAATTTCCCTTTGGGAAATTTTTAGGGAAATTACTCTTTTATAAATTTACGAAGGGAAATTTTTGTCTTTAATGGATTTTATTTTTTCTTTGGGTGTTAATTACAAAAATAAAATATTTTTTTAAATTGCACCAGAAACTAAAAATTTCCCCCGAAGGGAAATTTTTGTTTTCAGCAATTTTCAAAAATTTCTTAAAGATTTGGAAACCTTATCGAAAACTAAGTGAAATGGCATCAAAAATAAAAATTTCCCTTTTGGGATTTTTTGGGAAATTTTTCGATATTCAAGGGAAATTTACATTTTTCAAACATTTTCTTTAGGTTTCAGAAGTCATATCAAAAACAAAGGAAAATGCCCATAAAAACTGAAAATTTTCCTCTTAGATTTTTTCGGGAAATTCAATTTTTTTCACCTTCTTCAAAAAGAGAAACTTTTTTCTAAATTTTGGGCTGAAACTAAAAATTTTCTTTTGAAGGTGTCTGCTTCTAATTTTTCTAATTCCGATTTTTTTCTTTTTTTGGTTTTTTTATTTTTTAATTTTCATAAAAAATATATCCAAAAAATCCCTCAAGTTTCATAATTTCCCTTAAAAATCTGGTCAAATAAATACTTCTATTTATGATTTATGTATTTTCTGACTACCCGGAAGCCTATGCAAATTAATTTGAGATAATCAATTTTCCCCCATTTTTTGCCCAGTTTCTCAGTATAATTCTTGATTAATTTCGTATTGCCAAAAAAAGAAGAAGTCATTTAGAACCTAAAACAAACTTTGCCAGACGAAAGAAAGAAAAACGACCAGCAACAACAATGACAACACCATTAAAATAAAGGTCAATACATTTATTGAAGGCCACTGTTGTCAGGAACACTGCATGATCAACCACAACCGCCATGCACACACACACACACGTCACACACAGACTCATTGAAATCAAAACAATGGCAAATTATTTCACCATACGCACAATACGCCAGAGGGAGAGACAGAGAAAGAGAGCCATCATGTTTCCTGATTCACACGCAGCCAGCCAATCATTATCACACGCACTCCTCATCGTCGTCGTCATCATCATCTCATTTTACTCATTTTGACGAAGTACAATAGACGAGCGAGCTTCAATTGAAATAATCACCTTAGCCCATAAATAATAACAATTTTTGGTGGCGAACATGTATGAGTTGTGATGAATGTTGTTTCAAGTGGTAAAAAAATCCCTTTTATAGCCTTGAGTCGTAAAATAAAACAGGGGAACAAGTTTTTTGGTGTTGTTGTTGTTGCTGGATTAACCTTGAACTTTAAACACACAGAATCTAGCCACGCACATATGGCGGCTTTTGGGTTGTTCATGAAATCCTCTTTCCGCACACACACACACACACACACTCACCCAACACTTGTGGCACTCAATTGCCGAGAGTTCATTCTCCAAAGGGTTCCTCGGGTGGATGGCCAAAAACAAAAGTCCCTGAACCCAATATAGAATGTCGTGATTAAATACCTACCGAACGAACGACCCATCGACTGGCAGGAGTTGTGATCATGACACAGCAGTTCAGGCCATAAATAAATAGAGCTTTGAACGCTTTGACGATCCGAAGGGAAACTGCTGTGCATGGTGATTTAACCTAAATCAAGGACGTCATTGAGGAGTTAACAACATTTCACAGACAAACACACACAGACATTTACAAAGGGAGTGGCTGGCTGACTGGCTGGCAATACAGATCAGAACCGAGCACAGTTTGAGAGACATGTCTGCAACTACAACACACACGTTGCCTTGCCTTGTGTTGTGTGCTCTGAAGTATAAAACAAAAGTCCTCCTCCTCCCATTCTCGTTCTGGTTTTTTTGTGCAAAAATGTAAGGGAATAGGGCAAACTACTTTTTCAAGGTTGTCCAGAGAGGGGAAGAATTGAGAAGAAGAAAAAACAACAATAAAATAAAAACAAAGTTGGCTGGCTGGCTGCTGCCCCGACACATATCATTGCCGTTGATCAGCATGATCGAAGTCATTGTTGTGGCTGGCTGGACTTGGAGAACAAAAAAAAAACACAGGAGTTAAAAATACTTTATATATGCCATGAGAGGGTGTGTGTGTGTGTATGGAGAAGAGCCTCCTTGATGATGATGACGACGATGATGATGCAAAGACAAACGACCACAACAATGAATCAGTTTTGTGTGCTTTTGGCATGAGCCGTTCCTTTCTTGAAGTTAACCTTTCCCAGACGACAATGGGGTGGAGGCATTGAACTTGGGTTTCCTTTTCAATGTCAAATTTGGTGGAACCCAAATAAAACAAGATCGAAATTAAAAAAAAACCTACCAACCGACATTTTTTAAATTTTTTTTTGCGGAATAAAAAAATTGGGAATTTTTTTTTAAAGAAAAAAAAATACGAAAATGTAATTTTTTAAATTAGGACAACACAACAAAAAATTTCTTTGAAGGAAATTTTCCTATTTTTTGCATATTTTTATTTGCGGAATATTTTTGCATATTTTTACTTGCGGAATAAAAAAAATCAAAATCAAAAATCAAATTTTAAAAAAGGACAAAAAATAAGAAATGTCAATTTTTTTAAAAAACGGACAAAAAATGTGAGGAAAACTTTCCTCAGTTTTTTAAAATAGGAAAATTTCCCTGAAGGGGATTTTTTATATTTTTTGATAAAATTCGATGTCATTTCACTTTGTTTTTAATAAAAATTCTGAAACTTAAATAAATTTTTAAAAATTCCTAAAAACGAAAATTTTTCCACTTGGAAGATTTTTTTTCAAAACGAAAATATAATTTTTTATTTAAACAAATTTCCCACCAGCGTTTTTGAAGTTCACTTAATTTATTTTAAATTTTTTCAACCTATTTTTTGGAATTTTGAGTCCTTGAATTCCATTTGGAATCCATCACTCACCAGATATAGGTACCTATTTACCCAAAAATATCACCTTTCAAATTGTTAGCCACTCGTGATAAACTAGAAAATTTTCCATTAATATTTGTCTTCACATTATTTTACCAATTCCCTTTTGCCTGGGTTTCATTAATCGCTTATTTCACTTCCTAGTTATTTTCTAATTGCTATGTGTAACGTACGTGGTGTTTTGTTTTCTATTTTTTTTTTTTTTTTCTATAATTTTTTCGAAGGCATTAAACCGCCAATGTTTTCTTTAGAGCAGCAGATATCCCAGGTTTTATCTTCTGTGTGTGTGTACGATTGTGTGTTTGTAACTTCAAGTCATGTTTCTTTTTTTTTTTTCTTTCAATTCTTCATCCATGACTATTAAATTTTGTTCTGATTGTTTTGTTTTTTTTTTTGCCTTTGTTATTATTGTATTTGTTTTTTTTGCCTTTTTTTATTTATGTTTTCAACAGCCAGAAGAAGAGGAAAAAATCCCAAAAAATTACCACACAGCACAAGAATAGTACACTCACACGCACGTACACA